TTGACCCAACATGGTCCTTGCCCTCAAAGAGCTCATAAACTTTACAGAGGAGATAGATGTCTTTAAAAATTAAGTATAAAACAATAAAGCAAGTGCAATATAAAACATATTCAAATTGCTATGGGAAAATTGGCAAAAGAGCTTCCCTTGGAAACCCAGGGAAAGCTACAGGCGGGGAAGGACCTTGAACCAGGCCTGTCTGAATGAAAAAGAAGAAAATTTGGGGACAGAAAACCGCATGCCAGAAGAGAAAACAGCATGAGCAATGAATGGATCTGCAGTCAGGCGACTGCTGAGACTGGAGTGGAGGGTCTGGGTGGAGGCCGGGCGAGAGGTCAGCGGATAAGTTTTACAGTGCGCTCCTCGTGATGTGTGAACAAGATATTATAAAACAACTCTGGGCTTTGAGGCATCGGACTTTAGGGAGAACCTAGACAGTAGCAGATTTGGGTTTTTTTAATCAATTGAGTAGCAATTAATCAGACATTGTTGCAATGCTATTTCTTGAAGCCTTTACTTTTGCATAGCCTTCACCTCTCCTAAAGCTGGTCTGAAACTTGAGAGTGTCACCAGTTAAAGCAGGGTGTATTAATCGCACAGCCACAACACGAGGCTTGAAATTTACCTGCACTTTAGACTCATTTCTTTGCTTGTGTATCCTCACACTTCTGGTCATTAATTTTCGACTTTTCTCGCTGATTCTGTGACATTTTTTCTCATGTTATAGTCTTCAGGTGACAAGGTCAGACCCTCAGGAGTTCTTTTTCTTCTTCCGCTTTCAGCCTTTGGTTGATATGACTGCCATCAGGAAAATGGTGGTGTCTAACTAGAACTTTCCTGCCCAAATGACTCTACATTTCTAAAACTTACACTAAAATGAAATATTTGTTAAAATAACAAAGAGCCACCTTTAAAATACTCATAGTTATTTGATACAAATATAGTGAATCACAGTTTGAGCCAGAGCCAAATTTTCAGAAATACTAACACCTAGGTTTTGTCTGGTACCTTTCTTGCTAATGCTCGACTGCTATGAGCCATTGCATGATTAAACCCTGCTTGTATTTCCCAGACCTAAGTAGAAACAGTTGCCCTGATCTTTATCTTAAAATTATAAGTCTTATATAGTTTTAAACTTCATATACATGGCTCCAGCCCTTCAGGGATTTAGACTAGGCTTATATGTGATTTTCTCATGGCTTTCATATTTAAGTCTTTAAACTACCTACACATAACTTTCCAGAGAGGCCATGCTAACTTGCCTTCTTAGAATTCCCAGTTGGCTCTCAAAGTGATTGCTGCTTGCTCTCTTTCCCTCCTTATTTCTTTAAATGGCCAGAAGCTCCTTTTTACATGTCAGAAGAGTCCACCAACTCAGGGAAGTACGCAGCGTAAAAAGACCACTGGTTGCCTCCGAATAGATTGGCCATTCCAACATGGAGAATTTTTTTTTCCTTCCATGTGAATCTTCTGTTTTCCTAGTTCCTTCCCCCTTTGAAATCCAAATGTGTTATACTATCTAATTAGATTTAAATGCTTAAAACATTCTATTAACTCCCAAAGCAGAACCACACCTCCTTACAAACCTGCTTCTGTGTTTTTGTTTTGTTTTTCAAGAAGCCAGAGCCCTCTTTTCCACCCAAAACATGCTTTGTAAGACGTATTTCCATGAATCATAAACAGCTTTTATTCAAAAATAAATTGTTTCTTCAGAAATTTTAAAGATTGTATCTTTGAGCAACTTTTCATTAATCACTTGCCAAATAATCTGGTATTGTTCCCACTAACCCCCAGCTCTTCCTTTGGGATGTCGCCCTGAATCCTTAGCCTGGAACCAGAAGCTGTTGATTCTCAGCCTTGCGCTTGGAGCCTCACCACATCAGTCAATCATGCACGTCTCAATGGAGCCAATGATATTTTTGTTTCCAGAACTTTCCTATATTCTTTGCACTTTCTAGATGTCTTTGCACATTTGCTACTGATTTTCATTTTGTTTTGTTTATGATAATTCCCTTGATGATTACTTTTTTTTTTCTTTAGCTAGACTCATATGCAACATTATTCTCTGATTACAAACCCTCTCCAATTTTACTTTCTGAGACTTGACTTCTTCGAGAACTAGTAGCTCATAATAAGCAGAAAAAACATTTTGGAAAAAAATTATATACACATACATAACATATATTAAATATATATACATACCTATGAATGTATATGTTTTAGAATATGTATTTATAAGGAGGTATAGGCCTGATCTGAGAATTAACATACAACTTTAATCATTTGATTCTAACTGGATTTTACAATATTTCTGAGAGCTTCAAAGGGTGGGAGGCTAGAGGAGATTCATGTGGAAAAAGAGTATCTTCATGTTGGAAAAACTAGTCGTGTGTGTGTGTCTGTGTGTGTGTGTGTGTGTGTGTCTGTGTGTGTGTAAAATATTTAATAAGCACCTTCTATGCACCAAGCACACAGATCCACAAACTAGAGAGGAAAAAAATGAATGACACTTTTCCTATTCTCAAGTTTCTCACAATCTAACAAGAGATAGAGACACATACAATAAAGCATAATATGTATGCAGTCAGTGTTGTTTTTATATGAAGAAAGGGCTTTGGGAACACAGAAACAGGTGTGTTTCATTAATGATTCCTGAGGAATTTAGAGTTGGCTTGGCTAGGTCTTAAAGGATTGGTAAGGTTTCACCAAGCAAAGCTTGGAAGGTGAGCAGAAGACACAGAGGCAGAAACGCACACACGATCATCAGGCAACAGGGACGCTTAGAACAAGGACTTTGCTTTGGGAAATGGCAGAAGATGAGGATAGTAGAGTAAGGTTGGAAGTGGACCATGAAGGTCCTTGAATGCCTTGTTAGGATTTCGTTGTATTTTGAAAGCGCTATGAAAAGATTTTAAGTGGAAAAATGAAATAATGAGATCTGCGTTTTTAAACTACAACTCAGGCTGTAGTATGAGGATTGTATATGAAGATGAGATGAACAGAAAAATCAGCTAGGAGAGTTGATGAGTTGATCTGTCAGGCTTAGAAAGAGTCAGTTGCAGAGCTAATGCTCACAGTTATAAAGGCCTGCTCCAGGGCGATTTCAGTGTGAGGGGGAGAGGGGAACATGGGAGGCATGTTAAAAGTAGAGCCTACTGGGTTTAGTCATTGACTGCGTGTAAGGAATCGGGGGGAAAGAGGCAAGGATGTGCTGGGGTTTGGGGTGAGTGATTGGATCTGTGGCGAGGCCATGAGCTAAAAATTGAGAAAACAAGAGGAGAGACATATTTTGGCAAAAAGTGCTTAGGGGCTCCTCAAGTGGAGTAGAGATTTACAGGAGGAAGTCAGAGCTCCCCAAATAGGCTATATCCATAATTACAGTGCATAGAGTCATAGTTGGAGGTGTAAGTCATAGTGGATAAGTCACTGCCTGGGGCAAGCATGTGGAGTAACAAAAGAGTCAGCCCCTCAATGAACGTCACATCGAAGGAAGAAGGAAAGGAGGAACCAGGCAGAGCCGGGAGAGAGCTGAGAGGTGGGAGAGGCAGAAGAGGGGGTGCAACGGAGACCAAGGGGAAAGGAGGAAGGCCACAGGGGCAGGGTGTCCTGAGAAGAGGCTGCTCACGATGGTCAGAGCACTAGGGATTTCGGGAGAGCAATCCTGAGAGCGAGGAGAGGAAGCCAGATTCCCAGGAGGAGAAAGAGGCGAGGCAGAGGGACGTGTGACTCCAGGGGAGCAGCAGCGTTGAGGGATGGCTTGGCTTCATTTTGACGTCTTTAAATGTCATAGAGAATATAATTTAAATGTAAGGCCTATAGCTTGTCATCATGAGGTTTAGAAACAAGCAGGCCTTGTCTTTCATGTGTCTTAAGCTCCTGCTTCATTTAGGATTGCCTTCAATCTTGCCTTGTGTCAACTGTCACTTAAGACTTTTTACTGATGATGCACATTTTAGCTTTTTTGATCGTGGTTTTCTCAACTAATGGAAAATGTTATCAAAGAACATTGTCTCACAGTAAGATGGGGTGTTAGAATTTGGGTGTTAGATTTAACTGTGAATGCACACCCACTTTGGGGATGTCAGGTGTGGAGGGAGCCTTGAAGAGGTCAGCCATAAATCCCAAATGCTTGGGCTGAAGAGAAGTCAGTGGAAAAGCCTGGAAGATGATGTCAGGAAAAAGAAGGAGAGCCAGCAAGCAGCAAACGAGACACGAAAGGAGCAGAATGTTTCCAGAAGGAGGTGTCAAATGATGTGGAAGAAAATGAAAGGAGGCTTCTTTATTTGAGATGAGACAGTCACTCGGACCTTGAAGTGGCACCTTTAGTAGAAAAGTGAAGCAGAAGCCAGATATGGGGTGAACCTTTCATTTCTCACATGCAATAAATAGCTTATCTTGTGTACACAATGAACTTTTATGTGTAATGTACCTGAGCGCGTGCGCGCGTGTGTGTGTGTGTATACATATATATGTGTCTGTGTACATATACTGGGGGTGCCATAAAAATGTATACAAGTGGACACTTTGGTCAACGTTGCTCAAGCAGTAGTTCACTGTAATCAGAAGTGTCTGGATGCTGATGGTAACCACTTGGAGCACTTCTTGTAATTGCACAAGTGAAACGTGACTTGTATTCATCTTTTGTTATCAGTGTATATTGAGTATTACAATTTTAATAGTTTTTTCCTCTTAAAATGTGTATACTTTTTTTGGCACCCTCTGTATATACACATACATATATGTGTGTGTACACATACACATATATATAAGGTATATTAATCACTGTTGAATAATTACTTTTTTTTCCACTCTTGTTTTAAAAAATAATTGTGAACTTGGAAACTAACTTGTCATCTCAAGAAGAATGTTAGATGTGTCAATATGGGAAAAAGAGGGTAAACCTACTATTTTTTAGAGAGATTATGTGCTAGAGTTTCTATGATGTTTCTTGATAGATAACTCTCTCTCTCCTTCTCCCTCTCCCCCTCCCCCCACTCCAGTGGAATGGAGCCTATCTAAAGACTTTTGTCCTTTGGCTGGAGAAATCATCATGGAAAATCTGCAGACCCTGAGATGCACAATCACAGGACTTACAACGGTAAATGCCAGATCCTCCCTTAGACATCCTATTCCCCTGCCCCTGGTGTTTGTACTGGGATTCTGGTAGCAAATGCCTACTCTGGAAGCAACAGCCAACACCCAGTCCTCTGGCAACAACTGCCACTCATTAAGTGTGATGTGTCTGGTATCCATAATCTGAACCCCACAAAGGAGTGAGCAGACAGCATGAGCCACTTTGTAAGCTGCCATGTTCTCCGGAGATCAGAAAAAGACTGGCCTCATGCGAGCCTTGAAAGCTGCTGCTTTCTGGATCCCAGTCTAATCTTCAGGGGGATCAAAGGCTCTGAGAGATCCAATTTTGACTCCCTGTCTGATGGTAAAAATAACAGCCTCTTCTAACCCTCACCCCCACGGGCCTGGCTGAGATCAGTCATCAATTGGAGTCACACAATTTCCTGAGAGAAATCCTTTTCCCTTGATTAAAAAAAAAAAATGTCTAAATCTGCTTTCACAAAAAAGAAACTATATGTAGTGGAGCTGCATTTCTCAGTAACCTAAACCAATTTAAACTGTGAATGAAAAACTGGAACAAACTGTGCTTATTTGTTTAACCAATATAAACTTCAACATCAGTTATCTGTAGAACTATAAACCATATAAACATATGAAATGCAAAACATGAAAACACCTCACCAATTAGTTCAGACTAGAACAAACACCATATTTCCTCAAACAATTAAAATGCAACAAAACTATTGGGTGGTCAGAAAAGTCATGACGCATTTTTGCAACGAAAAACAGAAAAAATATGTCATGACTTTTCCGACAACCCAATAGATCATCAAATCTTTTTTTTAATTAAAAAAAAAACTTTTTTAAAAGTAAACTTAAATCCCACCTGTATTTTTGAGGGGGACCCAATTCAAATAATTAGGATCTTAGGACCTTCATATGTGAGAGGTAGAGGAAGAATTTTATTGTTGTTTTTCTGAAAAGTTAGTCAATTAAAACAGTTGTATGAAACCCAGCATTAAAAAGCCGCCTTAGGTTGCCTCTCTTCAAGTTTGAACCAGTTTATTCTAATAGAATTCTTGGTGGTTGGGTCCCCACCGCAGAATCTTGACTTTTAGTCCTAATCACACGTCTCCACCAGGGGCCAAAACTGTGGATTACCAGAACAAACAAACCCCCAAGTGGGTGGCCCCCAGAGATGCTATCGCGCAAGGCTGATTCCCAACCTTATCACTCACATGGTGGAAGAGGGCCAGAAAAGAACCCCAGGGAACTGCCTTTGCTTAAAAGTGATATGGTGATAAAAATGGAAAACTCTACATAGAGAGTTTTTCTAATATTTGAACTAATTTTTATAGGGATTAAGTTTTTCCACTTGGTCGTCTAATAAGAACAATGCAGACACTACCTTAATCACATAAAAGCCCTAGAAGCAGATTTTCACTTCTCCAGAATCTCCATAACCTTGAGATGCATAGAAACCCATTTTTAATGTTAAAAAATGTTTACTTTGTACTATGGTGAGGCCAATATTATTAAACCCTTAGCAAAGGCTCTACAAAGATTGCTCTTTTTTTTTCTTTTAACTTAAACTTTACAATTTTTGCAAGCAATGTTTTATCAAATACTGGCTTTTAAAGTGCCCTTTTGGGTTCACTGGCAGTGGGGGTGCGGGGCGGGGGGACTCCTCAAAGCAAAAACAGAAAACTGTCCAAACATTTTAAAAGATTATAAGCAAACAAAAATAACTCCTTAGTTCATATCGCCATAAGACATTAAAGAATAAAAGCCATTTTTTAAATAATGGTTTTTAAATTGCAATAACATCAAAGAATTAATTTTTTTAAAGTTTGAATAGCTGAATAAAGGATGTTTATTGCAGCATTATTTTTTGTGGCATGAAGTGTGGAAGTAAACTAAATGTCTACGAGTGAGGGATTGGTTAAATACATGACTGTATTTGCCCACAGTGAAGTACTATGCAGCCGCTAAAAGAATGAAGCAGACCTTTAATTACTATCTGAAAACATGTTCATTATAACTTGCTAATGTTTAAAGCAAGTTGATTGGCTACAAAACGGTGATGGTTGCCTCTGGGAAGAGGAAGATAAGGAGAAAGAGGCGAGAGTAAGAGTTCACTCCTTTTGGTAAATCTTATAGAATTGTGTGTGGCTTTTAAAATTTGGTGTATAATTGTTTTGGAGGGGTCAGAAAAAAACACGATGTTCCATTTTGGAAAAAAAGAAAGCACAGAGAAACTAAGAGAGCATCCCAAATATATTTATTATCATATATAAAAATAAATGTCAAGAAAAGCTAGAAAGCTAAACAAGGGGAGGTGGGCTAGTTCATTCTCAAAGGATAAATGAATTCATCAGACATGGGAATCTCATGTAGGGTAAAGCTGATTAAATACAATTCCTGATGTGTCATTCTCTCTGTTTCACTGCTTTGCAGGGCCAGCAGTATTTTGTTCAAGTCTCAGCTTATAACATGAAAGGATGGGGACCTGCTCAGCCCACGACACCAGCATGTGCCTCTCCTTCTAGTAGGTGGTGCTGTGATCTCTCTCTCTCTCTCTCTCTCTCTCTCTCTCTCTCTCTCTCT